TTTTTTTTGTTTGCATATTCTCTACTCCAGTTTATTCCTCTTCCATGCATCCCTCCTCCCTACTCTTCTCTCCGCCTTTTTCCTCTTCCTCTTCATTTGCTCCTCCCTTCTTCTCCACTATGTTTCCCACCTTCTCACATCTTTCTTTCCTCTTCTTTCTCCCCTTTCTTGTTTTCATTCACCTGGCTTCCCCTCATCATTTCCTTTGTACTCTCTCTCTCTCTCTCTCTCTCGACTTAGGAGGAAAATGATGCTTAATAACTACCTGGACTAACTCTGTATTTAATGACGAAACACCTTTAGGTTAGGTCAGGTTAGGTCATGTCAGGTCTGGTTAAGTTAGGTCAGGTTAGTTTAGGATGGGTCAGGTTAGGTCAGGTTAGTTTAGGATGGGTCAGGTTAGGTAAGGTCAGGTCAGGTTAGGTCAGGTTAGGTTAAGTCTGGACGGTGTTGTTGCGTCACACTGGCAACCAACCTGGATATTCTTTACGCACAATAGACCTTGAGATTGGTTCTGAAATTCACAAATCTTACCTGAAATGGACTGAGTATTGCATTGTGGGGTTTAGTGTTTGTGTAATAATAATAATAATAATAAAAAACGGTTTATTAATAGAGTTGCAGCCGGTGGCTGAAAATATACAGACTTACATTTGATTTAGACATAATGATATAATGTGCATTGAATACATTTACAGGGCTGTACAGTACATAAATCAGGAGTTGTTTATTATTTTAACAATAGATGGGATGGTGCTGTTCTTATATCTATCGGTGCGGGCTCTTATGGGCTGAATTTTGTTGTAGAGGCGGACTGCGCGAGTTGGGTGGGGGGCTGCAGGTGGCAGGAGGTGGCGATGACGAGGGTGGTGCAGTAGTCCACTGCCACACCTTTCCAGTGCTTGGTGGTGGAGGTCACTGAGGGATGGCATTTCCAGGGTGGAGAGAGCGTTGGTGTAGCTGGAGTATTCTGCGCCGAGCATGATTCTGCAGGCCCTTTTCTGTACCTTCTCTAGCTGACGTTGTTGGGTGGAGTTGAGAGAAGACGACCAGGCTGGTGACGCATACGTTAGTTAGTGTGTGTGTGTGTGTGTAATAATAATAATAATAATAATAATTAACGGTTTATTGAAAGAGCTTGGCAGCCAGAAGGCTGAAAATATACAGTTACATATTTGGGGAATGGGTTACGAATTACAAATAATATACAAGTGACATAAGTGACACAAATAAGACATATAGTAACTTAGATGGGGATCAGCTCAAAATACAGTTCATTTCAACATAGTGACAGTGTAGGGAGCAGTGTTTACTGGGAGTGAATACACTGATTTATTACATGTTATTGATAATTTTTACAATGGTTGGGACTGGGCTGTTCTTATAGCGATCAGTTCGTGCACGTATGGGCTGGATGCGGTTGTGGTGTCGAACAGCAATTCTCGGACAGGGGATCTCAGGTGGTAGTAGGGGCCGGTGTCGGGGATGGTGTAGAAGCTTCTTACCAAATTTGCAGATGAGGCCGTGGTGATGGTCAGTGAGAGTCGAAAGGGTCAGTGTGTTGAGCGCTTCTTGATATGTGGAGTAGGAAGGGGAGAGAATAATCTTGCATGCCCTCTTTTGCACTTTTTCTAGGTGTTTACGTTGTGTGGCATTTAGGGGGAAGACCAGGTGGGGGAGGCATAGGTGAGCTTGGGAAGTATGAATGTTGTGTATACACTGAGGAGCTCGTGTGCGGGAACTCCGAGGGACTTGAGTCGGCGGAGGAGGTGGAGACGGAAACTGGAGGATTTGGCAACTTCACTGACGTGTGGTTTCCAATTTAGTTTGTTGTCTATGGTGACGCCGAGGAGCTTCGTGGAATCTACAACCTGGAGTGTGTTCGGACCTAGGGTAATGGAAGGAGGTGGGACAATGTCGGAGGAGAGGTTGATGTGCATAACCATTGTCTTGGTATGGTTGATGGTGACATGGTTGTTGGTGGCCCAGTTTTGGAGACTGTTCAATAAATCCTGAAGGGCGGTATAGTGTGTGTGTGTGTGTGTGTGTTTCCAAAACCGAACACACCTTGTCCACCCACCTGTAAATGCCTCTCATTAAGTCACTCACCGACCCTCTTTTCTCTCTCCTCTTAGTCTCTCAACCAGGAACGAAGAATTATTTTGGTCAGTTCGCTTGTTGACCGAACCACTGACGTCAGTTGGCCTTTGTTACTCCCACTTCCCTTCATCCTCCTCCCCTTCCCTCCTCCCTCACACCTACCCAGAGAAAAGACGGTTGCGTTATCACCAGTTAGCCATTGTTCGATTTGTTTGTACGAGATTTTATTATTATTATTATTATTATTAGTTAAAAGAATAAATTGTCGGTAAATGATAAGTACATTAGGTATCACACACACATGCACACACACACACACACACACACACACACACACACACACACACACACACACACACACACACACACGCGCGCGCGCGCGCGCATGAATGCAAGCAAAATAGCGACTCATGGTAAGGTGTAGAAAGAAGCAGTAAGTTACCAGAGAGAATTGCAACACCTTACTTTGGCGACTTCTACAACACCTTACTTTGGCGACTAAAGAACATAAGAACATAAGAAACTAAGGAGTCTGCAATCGGCCAGTTGGCCTGTGCATGGCAGCTCCTGTCGAGAGGTACTACCACTCTCTATCATCCATGAATCTATCTAGCCTCCTTTTGAAACTTTCTAGAGTTCCCGCACTTATTACAAAGTTGCTAAGCTTGTTCCACTCGTCCACCACCCTATTTGTGAACCAGTTTCTTCCTATCTCCCTCCTAAACCTAAACTTATCCAACTTGAATCCGTTGCTCCGAGTCCTATCCTGCTTGGATATTATAAGAACTTTATCTATATCCCCTTTATTGATTCCTTTCACCCACTTAAATACTTCTATCATATCTCCCCGCACTCTTCGTCTTTCTATGGAATGCAAGTTAAGTTTCTTTAACCTATCCTGATATGGAAGGTTTCTAAGTCCCGAAATCATTTTTGTCATTCTTCGCTGCACCGACTCTAGTGAATTTATATCCATTCTATAATAGGGGCACCAGAACTGAACCGCATAATCGAAGTGCGGCCTGACTAGCGCAAGATATAGTTGCAATAAGACCTCTGCACTCTTGTTACCTACACTTCTAGATATAAAACCCAATACTCTGTTTGTCTTATTTCGAACATTAACGCACTGTTTTCTAGGCCGTAGGTCCGGGCTTACAAGTACCCCTAGGTCTCTTTCACAAATCGACTTCTCAAGATTGATGTTGTTAAGGCTGTATACATTGACAGTATTTGTTCTTCCAATATTAAGTACGCTGCACATGCTGGTGTTGAATTTCATTTGCCATTTGTCAGACCACCCCTGCAGTTTATTTAGATCCTCCTGTAATGCATTTGCATCCTGCCCTGAATTAATCTGTCGCCCTATTTTGGTGTCATCCGCAAACTTGCTTATGTCACTGCTGATCCCAGTATCTAGATCGTTTATGTAGATTATGAACAAGAGTGGGCCTAGTACTGACCCCTGGGGAACCCCACTGGTTACACGGCCCCACTCAGATTTAACACCCTCTACACTGACCCTCTGCGTTCTATCGGTGAGCCATGATTTTATCCAATTTAAAACTTTCCCCTCGATACCATGAGCCTTAATTTTTCTCAGAAGCCTCTGATGCGGTACTCTGTCAAATGCTTTGCTAAAGTCTAAGTCAATAACATCGTAATTTTCGTCATAATCTACTACCTCATCAGGCCCCTCATACACCATCTGTGGGGGAACTACTACATCATCAGGCCCTTCGTAACACCATCTGTGAGGGAATTACTACACCACGTTAAGCCCCTCATAACACCACCTGTGAGGGAACTAGTACTCCACGTGATGCTCCTCATAACGCCATCTGTGAGGGAGTTACTACACTACGTGTCTGCTGTTCAACACCTCAGCTCACATGATCTACGTGTGTAAACATTAATCTGTATGTTCACTGTATATGTTCCTTCACCTTTCTCTAATGAAGGCTTTTGTTAAACCACCAATGTATGTAATAAGTCATTTATGTCCAATGTGTATTTTCAGCCTTCGGGCTGCAAACTTTTTCAATAAACCGTTTTATTATTTTACACATACACACACACACACACACACACACATATATATATATATATATATATATATATATACACAAACAATAAAATACATACACACATATTAGTGGAATGAGAACTTACTGCAGCTTATGGTGATCAACATTATCAGTCGGTTATAACACAAGGAGGAATTGGATAACTGAGTCCATATCCAGACTGGTGGGAGACTGTTCGGGCACCTCGTTGAATAGTATTGACATCACATCGTAATGGTGAGAGGATAATTACTGTAGGTACAGGTATAGTTCCCTTCACTAGTGCGTCCACAGGGGGTAGTCAGGTTTTGTCCAGTGTGGCAAACCTGTGTTTGTTTACATTCGACAAAGAAGCGTAAAATAGTTCAAATATGTTGTAATCAAATTAAAACAATATTAAAACAAATAGCTCAAAGATAATAAATTGTTGAATGTTTATATGACGAGCCCCTGTAAACGGACAAGTGAAGGGGACTGTACATAGTTGCCATACATCTGAACTCCAACTTGAACAGGTAATACTTCGAGGTGATTCTCCGCCACAGTCCATTACAACTGTCAGGTGAATCACTCTTGAGAGCGAGTATATTAATTTAGGGGATTTACTCTGATTTATTATTATATTGTATTGTATTGTATTGTATTGTATTGTATTATATTGTATTATATTGTATTATATTGTATTATTATATTGGCAGTAGTAGTACAGGTAGTAGTAGTATTAAATAAGTTGTTGAATTTGTTGTTTAAAGTATATACTGTAGGTAGGTCAAGGGACACACAAGTACCTTTATATTATTTATTAATTCATTATACAAAAATAACCTAAACACCTCACTGAGCCTCCTCACCGGACGACTCATCCTCACTTTCCGAGAAAATACTTCTCGTCCTGCTCTTCACTGGACGACTTATCGTCCCCTCCTCACCGGACTCATCGTCACTTTCCGAGAGACAAAGTGTCGTCCCCATCAATGGAAAACTTTTCGTCTTCTCAACAGACGACTCATCGTCACTTTCCGAGAGACGACGTTGACGTTTCTGAGGAGAAAGATGGTCGTCCTCCTTCTTACTGGACGACTTGTCGTCAGTTTCCTGTGGACGTTGACGTTTCTGAGGAGGAAGATGGTCGTCCTCCTTCTTACTGGACGACTTGTCGTCAGTTTCCTGTGGACGTTGACGTTTCTGAGGGGGAAGATGGTCGTCCTCCTCCTCACTGGACGAATCGTCGTCAGTTTCCGAGAGACGACGTTGACGTTTCTGAGGGGGAAGATGGTCGTCCTCCTTCTTACTGGACGACTTGTCGTCAGTTTCCTGTGGACGTTGACGTTTCTGAGGAGGAAGATGGTCGTCCTCCTCCTCACTGGACGAATCGTCGTCAGTTTCCTGAGGAATAGGTCGTTCCTGAGGGGGAATGTGGTCGTTCTCCTCCTCATTGCACGCCTCCTCTACAGTTTCCTGAGGAATAGGTCGTTCCTGAGGGGGAAGGTGGTCGTTCTCCTCCTCATTGCACGCCTCCTCTACAGTTTCCTGTGGAATAGGTCGTTCCTGAGGGGGGAGATGGTCGTTCTCCCCCTCATTGCACGCCTCCTCTACAGTTTCCTGAGGAATAGGTCGTTCCTGAGGGGGAAGATGGTCGTTCTCCTCCTCATTGCATGCCTCCTCTACAGTTTCCTGTGGAATAGGTCGTTCCTGAGGGGGAAGATGGTCGTTCTCCTCCTCATTGCACGCCTCCTCTACAGTTTCCTGTGGAATAGGTCGTTCCTGAGGGGGGATGTGGTCGTTCTCCTCCTCATTGCACGCCTCCTCTACAGTTTCCTGTGGAATAGGTCGTTCCTGAGGGGGAAGATGGTCGTTCTCCTCCTCATTGCACGCCTCCTCTACAGTCTCCTGAGGAATAGGTCGTTCCTGAGGGGGAAGGCGGGCCTTCTTCGCCTCACTGTACGACTTGTCGTCAGTTTCCTGTGCAATAGGTCGTTTCCGAGGGTGTAGACGACTGCTCTCGACATCCTCCCCACGACGATCATGTTCACTTTCATCATGGTAAGGTGTCTCACGAGGCACCTGGGGATAGTCTTGTGACTGATGATTAGAGACATATTGCTCTTCCTCATAACAAGGTTGATTATAATAATAATGTGGATCGTTATAATTGTTACGGTGTGTTCTGCGGTTGGCATACAGAACGGAAACTTTCAGGGGTCGGTTGTACACCAGTCGTCCATTATTCTCGAGGGCCAACATTTGGTGCCGCTTACCACAGTACCGGATTTTGGCAATGCCACGGTGCCACGTTCCATCATTATTATATGGCATATAACAATCCTTCATGCCCCCATCTTCATTAAAAATGTATACAATATCCTCATATGAACACTGAAACGAGATGTTCTGAACGTACACCCCGAATGCATCATAATCGTGAAAATTACCGCCTGAGACGCTTGATCGGTGAGAGTAGGCCATCGTTATTATTGGGTTAAGTGATCACTCTGGCAAGGAGGGGTGAGTTTACCTCAGTGTAATTAATGTAGTAAGAGGTACTGCACTTGGTACTATAGTTCTGAATACGAGGTGTAATGAACATAATTATACAACTATTGTACTACGTGTGTTGTAGTGAACATTTAGTACTAGTGTTGTAGTGAACATTTAGTACTAGTGTTGTAGTGAACATATAGTACTAGTGTTATAGTGAACATGTAGTACTAGTGTTGTAGTGAACATTTAGTACTAGTGTTGTAGTGAACATTTAGTACTAGTGTTATAGTGAACATGTAGTACTAGTGTTATAGTGAACATGTAGTACTAGTGTTATAGTGAACATGTAGTACTAGTGTTATAGTGAACATGTAGTACTAGTGTTATAGTGAACATGAAGTACTAGTGCTGTAGTGAACATGTAGTACTAGTGTTATAGTGAACATGTAGTACTAGTGTTATATTGAAAATGTAGTACTAGTGTTATAGTGAACATGAAGTACTAGTGCTGTAGTGAACATGTTGTACTAGAGTTATAGTGAACAGTTATTAATAAGATATAATGATTTATATTTATCACACACACACACACACACACACACACACACACACACACACACACACACACACACACACACACACACACACACACACACACACACACACACACACACACACATGTAATAAGTCATTTATGTCCGATGTATATTTTCAGCCTTCGGGCTGCAGAATTTTTTCAATAAACCGTTAATTATTATTATTATTATTATTACACACACACACACACACACATCCTTGACCACCGACGGGTCAAGACGGGTCAGACGCACCTGGCGCTGCTCAGCAGCCACGTCAACTGTTATGTTGGCCCATACCAACTCCCTTCCCTGAACCCTCCTCCTCACCGGAATACCAACAAGTTCTCGCCAGAAGTTACTATTTCATTTGGGAAAGGAATGGAACCAGTGTTGAATAGTGGTGAACAGTGGTGAACAGTGCTTAAGTCAGTGAAAAACAACTCGGCAGTTGAGTCTGAACCTAGCTAACCTTCACACAGTGAGGTCCCAGGTACCCAGTGATAATTCCCCCGAGATTCCACGATAGAGAGAACATAAGAAGAACATAAGAAAATAAGGAGTCTGCAATAGGCCGGTTGGCCTGTGCATGGCAGCTCCTGTTGAGAGTTACTACCACTCTCTATCATCCATGAATCTATCTAGCTTCCTTTTGAAACTTTCCAGAGTTCCCGCACTTACTACAAAGTTGCTAAGCTTGTTCCACTCGTCCACCACCCTATTTGTGAACCAGTTTCTTCCTATCTCCCTCCTAAACCTAAACTTATCCAACTTGAATCCGTTGCTCTGAGTCCTATCCTGCTCGGATATTATTGATTCCTTTTACCCACTTAAATACTTCTATCATATCTCCCCGCACTCTTCGTCTTTCTAGGAAATGCACGTTAAGTTTCTTTAACCTATCCTGATATGGAAGGTTTCTAAGTCCCGGAATCATTTTTTTCATTCTTCGCTGCACAGACTCTAGTGAATTTATATCCATTCTATAATAGGGGCACCAGAACTGAACCGCATAATCGAGGTGCGGCCTGACTAGCGCAAGATATAGTTGTAATAAGACCTCTGCACTCTTGTTACTTACACTTCTCGATATAAAACCCAATACTCTGTTTGCCTTATTTCGAACATTAACGCACTGTTTTCTAGGCCGTAGGTCCGGGCGTACAAGTACCTCTAGGTCTCTTTCACAAGTCGACTTCTCTAGGTTCATGTTGTTAAGGCTGTATACATTGACAGTATTTGTTCTTCTAATATTAAGTACGCTGCACATGCTGGTGTTGAATTTCATTTGCCATTTGTCAGACCACCCCTGCAGTTTATTTAGATCCTCCTGTAATGCATTTGCATCCTGCCCTGAATTAATCTGTCGCCCTATTTTGGTGTCATCCGCAAACTTGCTTATGTCACTGCTGATCCCAGTATCTAGATCGTTTATGTAGATTATGAACAAGAGTGGGCCTAGTACTGACACCTGGGGAACCCCACTGGTTACACGGCCCCACTCAGATTTAACACCCTCTACGCTGACCCTCTGCGTTCTATCGGTGAGCCATGATTTTATCCAATTTAAAACTTTCCCCTCGATACCATGAGCCTTAATTTTTCTCAGAAGCCTCTGATGCGGTACTCTGTCAAATGCTTTGCTAAAGTCTAAGTAAATAACATCGTAATTTTTGTCATTATCTACAACATTATCTACATTATCTACAACAACACCGATGTATAATGGTGAAAGATGGTGAGGGGTAAACAGCTGGAGTAAGAATGGTGACAAGATGGTGTAAAGTGACCTAGTGACTGAAACCATATTAAGTATATAAACAGTGTGTGTGTATGTACAGAAGCGAGGTGGTGTAGATTGATTTGGAATTGGTGTTACGCAGAGTTTGTGATTCAGATTTAACTGTATGTGTATAAGTCATATATAGTGAAAGGAGGATCAGTGTGTGTGTGGTGGGAGAATAGCCGATATAATTCATCTGTTTATGGCAAAGCGTAACAGGTCCCTAATAATGCCAAGTATCATCAGGCTTGTAGGAGGGATATATAGTCAGGGAGAGACGAGGTTTTGGTGACGACTGCTTGGAGACCTGTAGGAGGAGGAAATCTTAGGGCATGTGAGGATGTAGTGAGGGTAGATATGAGAGTCCTGTCGCCCACATAGTTTATATATATAGTTCGATCAAGCTCAGGAGGGTTGTCAGGTGAGTTCTCGAGTATACAATCTGTTGACACCGAGTCATGGGTGTGGTGCTATTTGTAGTATCGGTTGTCTTCTCTTAAAGTAGGGTGGATTAGGTTAGGTTAGGTTAGATTAGGTTAAATTAAGTCAGGACAGGATGAATTACATTAGGAAAGTTTAGGTTACAGTTTGGCTTACATCATTGTGTCCTTAAGGGTGATGAAAACACTGGAGAAAACACTAACAAACGCCTTAATGGACAAGGAACACCTGACCAGTATCTCGCCCTCATACACGTGGACCCTACTGCGTCGCCGGCGGGAAGATGAGGCAGCAGATGGCAGGGTGACACCACAGTTTGGGTGGAGTTGTCGGGAAGTGGATGAAACAGCTGTAGGCAAGACGCTGCTCACACACACACACACACACACACACACACACACACACACAAAGTTGGTGATGGGAGAACTTAGGGCCAGGGAGAATCCACACGCTGAAAGGGGGGCGGGGTGGTAATTAACGGGTGTTGTAAGTTAAATGAGTTGTAGTCATAATGGGGTCCTATCATTACCGCTTATAACTTACCATAACCTGACCTAACTTAAATTAACTTCCCCTAACGTAACATAGATTAACTTACCTTAACCTAAATTAACTGATCATATCTAACAAAATTTATCTTCACCTTGCCTAACCTAACTTAACGTAACCTAACTAATTCTGAGCTAACTTAGCTTAAATTAACTTAACTTAACTTAATTAAACCACCAAAAACTCCCAGTTATTATAGGTCCCTAATGACATTAGGTTAGGTTAAGGCCCATTAGGACAAGTGACCATTTGAACGGTCATTACTCCCCCACGCGCCCAGGACGGCGTTATCTGTATGCTTAATAACTTGGGGAGATATAGTTATGTGGGGGTGGGGAGAATGTGTGGGGTGTGGGAGTGTTTGTATAGGGTGGGTGTGTGTGTGGGGGTGGGGGTGGGGAGAGCTTGAGGGTGTGGAGAGAAAAGGTAACATACATACATACATACATACATACATACATACATACATACATACATACATACATACATACATACATACATATATACTTAACCTAAACACATACACTGGTAAAGTTTTCATGTATATTCGTATATTTCCTTCTGGTGAGAGGGTGGAGGTACAAGCATTGAGTATCGGCAGTGTGGGGCGTATCGGGTGTTGGCAGGGAGTGTAGTGCTGTGTTTATGATGACGAGGTCGATGTTGAGGTGCAGAGAGGGGAAAGGGAGGAAGGAAAAGGAAGATGAGAGAAGGGAGAAAATGGGATGGAGAAGGGAGAAGATGGGGTGGTGAAGGGAGAAAATGGGGTGGAGAGAGAAGAAGAGAGAAAGAAGAAAGGGAGGACGTTAATGATTATATAAAAAAGAAATAGATTGAGTTATACTATTGCCATATATAACAGTGATATAAAAAGTAGCTTTATTACACATAAAAAAACGAATGCCAGTAATTGGTTTCCTGGATGAGACAAATGATTGATATTTTATTTATTTATAAAGTTGATGAAGCAATAAAAACAGAAAAAAAAGATAATTCTTTTCCCTTTAAAATGAGACAGTATTGATATAAAAATAATTATTAAAAATACCCAGATTAAAATGATTATCAAGTAAATTAGTTTATAAAAATAGGGTAACAATTTGAGTTCCTATAAAAATAATTAAAAAGAGAATATAAAATAAATTAATAAAAAAAAAGAGAAAAATTGTTTTAAAAAAATACCTTTAAAACTGCAGCCATTACTCTCGCCCACTGCCACCTTATCGAACCATTATTTCTTTCACCACTTAGTGATTATCGGTACCAGGCACTGAGCTGTTTCTTAACCTGCTGAAATATCGCCTTCAGCCACCTCACGTTAGCTGGAGACAGTCTTGCAGCTCCTGGTATAAAGATCTTACTTAGAGTTTCGTGACAATAACATAACAGAGACGGAGATAATACATACATACATACATACATACATACATACATACCAATACAGGCTTACACACACACACACACACACACACACACACACACACACACACACACACACAGCCAATTAGCGCTGCCTGGTCGATGATGATTATTTTTCAAAATACGAGAATCTGATGGACGATAACCAGCGCATGTATGTATGTATGTATGTATGTATGTATGTATGTATGTATATTGATGGTTATATCGTTAGTACT